CACACATTGTGTTTATGCACTCCATGTAAGCAATCTTTCTTTCATTGACTCTGTGATAACAGGTGTATAACGTAATGTTTCTTTTCTTTGAGGATGGTATCAAAATAGCTCTGATATAAGGTGATTGTCATGATATATGTTGTAAAAACATGCATTTTAGCATCATTAGTACAATTTAAAAGTAGAAATTAGAGTAGAAAGAGTATTTTGTTGTTACCCGTTCAGATATCCCTTCATTTTTTTATTTTAGGCAGTTAATACAAACAGCCTGAAATTATCTTGGGGTTTCTGATTGTACAAATCTATTTGTGGGTAGCGAACATAGGGACCAGCACTGTGTGCATCAGCGGGGGGCACTGCACTAATGAACAAATAATAGAAAAAACAACATAATGATGGCTGAATTACATCAAGTTGAAATTGATCCCTATCCTATATAGTACATGCATTTAATGGCTGCCATTTGATTTGTATGCTTCATATATTGCCCTCACATAATCCCACAGGAAAAAGAAACAGTGTGCTGTAAACATTGGAGACTTCATACTCCTTTCGTTTTCTCGGGTTCCCCGGTGATCTATTCTGGATCCGCTTCTGTATGCTTATGTTCTGCCTTTCTGAAATGACGATCTGAATATTCGAAACATTCATGCTGTTCAATGACTCCATATTAGAAATATCCACAATCAAGGAAGGGTGCCTTGTATAATAATGTTTAAAAAAGAGGGCCTTACCTAGGTATTGTTTTTGACTCATGTCATTCATACTTTTATCTACAGACTTCACAGTGCACCTTTATTCTGGTCCAAGCTGACAAAATACATGTATTTTTAATTGTATTCACCCTTGCTCTTTGTTTTGAAATAATGACCCAAATCCTATGATGCAATGCTTTCCATCATATACAGTTGAGCGACTTTACTCCAATCCACGTTGCCGCTAAAAGGTCATTCATAATCTCAATTGTAATGCTCACTTTAGAGTAATCTGCTGAGTGTCTATTTTAAAGGATGTGGTGAATTATTGATAACGGACACAGTCTATCCTTAATGTTACTAGTAACATTAGTGTGGGCTGTTCCTGCTATTACAAATGTTCAAATGTGTTCTATCAAGAAGAACTATTGTGTCTGTATTTCAAAGAACGATGGATGTAGCGGTTGTGGATGCTGTCTCAACTTTCATTTTGGTGCAACGTGATATTGAATACTTGCTGATACAACGACTTTGGCACTGAAAATCTCAGCAAGTGTGGAGCCAAAACGAAAACTGAGATGACATCCACACTGCTACCTGCTATGGTGATGTCAAAAATCTCAATAGATTTCTGAAGAAGCAAAGTAGTGTGAGTGAGTTTTTCTGTGTGTGTTGCCCTGAATCATTTGGTTGTTCTCGCATGGGAAATACATATAGGTATGGTTGAGAATCCACAGGCCCTATATGTTTACGCAAATACTGTTGACATGGATACTAATCAGACACACACACACACAATATGAAAGCAGCAAAGTGCTTACTCAGTACAGCAGCTGCATCTGCAGAGTAAGACGGAATAGAAAGCAGTGTCTTTGTTGGTGTGTGTGTGTGTGTGTGTGTGTGTGTGTGTGTGTGTGTGTGTGTGTGTGTGTGTGTGTGTGTGTGTGTGTGTGTGTGTGTGTGTGTGTGGTGTGTGTGTGTGTGTGTGTGTGTGTGTGTGTGTGTGTGTGTGTGTGTGTGTGTGAGAGTGAGAGAGGAGTAAAGGGGTGATGGGGTCTTCGAGCAGACAAAGGGGAATCACTGCTACTCTCAGCGTCCATTAGACTAACCCTATGGATCCATATTGATCCGTACTACCACTGAGCTCTGTCTAATAGGCTTCTGCCCGCCCTGATACAATGACAGCATTAGCGCACATATCCAGATGGATGGATTCGGGGGTGGGAGGGTGAACCATAGCCAGAACAAGAGAGTGAGGGTGATAAAGAGTCTTACAAAGATTTACAGGTCCAGAGGAGAAAGGCGAGAAGGCAGAAAGGCTGATAATGTTTAGAGGACAGAAACTAAGAGAGAGAGAAACCAGATAAGAAAAACAGAAACATCTTAGTTTCATTATGTAGGCACAGTCTGAACCACAAGACTCTTGCTCTCTCAGCATGTCAGTGACTTAGTGCATCTTCTCCATACTGACCATTTTAGAGAACATAAAGGGAAAGAGAGGAAGTCCCTGTACAGCCATCACAGTAAAAGCATTTTTACATTACTGTGTGTCAGTGTGTGTGAAGAAAGAGTAAAGGAAGGAGAGACTTGTTTGTTTTTGGCATGTGTGTCTTGTGTGTTTTCCTGTCTGTACTTCTGCTCTGACACCCTCTTGCTTGAATAATAAATAATGATCAGCTGTTGCTGTAATTTGGCCACCTGCCTCTTATTATCTCCTCAGCCAGCTGAGTGGACGGAGCTGGGATGGGGGAGAGAATCTCTGATATCAGAAAGCATTTCTGTCCTCACTCACATTATCCTTGTTTGTTATGTCAGTTATAGAAAACTAAGAGGTTCCTTCCCAAAGCACACAGGGCATAGGATACATTTCATTTAACAACCATTTAAATGTGTATAAATACCGTTATGTTAAATATTGCATTAGGAAAGTTTGTCAAAAGGTAAACGCAGATCAGTCTTATACATTTACAATAAAGCTTTAAATGCCATGAAAATAAATGTTCAACTTTAAAAGAGTTTGGGTTGAGGATTTTTGCTATACACACCAGAAGAAGGCAGGGCTCAGTTGGAGAAAAAGTTATGCCATGCATTTCATTTATCACTTAGGATTTAGCTTTATTTATATCCAATCCGATGAGGGCTGTGAGCTGCCCGAAAAACAAGAACGAAAACAAATTTGAAAACGTGACCTAGTAGGTCAGTGTCTCATGCATTTCCCCATAATGTAGCCTTTGGATTTAGTTCACGTTTTTCTTTTCCTTTTGCTTTTCAGAGGCCTGCAGGCTAGTTTTCACACAGGGAAAAAAGAAGCTGGAACACAGTCTGAGCTTTGTGCAGGGGCCTGCATATAGAGCACATAGTGTTGGGGTAACCAGGCAGTGCAGCTGGCCTTTCACAACTATGCAACTTTAAGGCAGTGTTTAAATCAAGATGCAAAAGACAAGAACACTGTTCTCCCACATGAACACACACATACAAGGAAAGGAAAGTGAAAAAAGGGAAATGTTAAAATGATGAGCTTTGAATATAGCTGTGGCTATATCGAAGTCAATTTTGTCAAGAATGAATATCTTTAGCAACACATTTCCTTTGGTTCTGTCGTTACTACTACTATCAGTTAACTTCATTTGAAGGCTCTCCCAGATTTTTCTTTACTGTGCTACACCGGATATATACTGTTCTTTCAAGGTTAGCATGTCACTTCCCTTCCAAATAAGTCAATTTGGCATTGCAGCGACATGACCTATAAATAATAAAGGCCTTTAAGTTTAATCTATTAGTGATACAAAAGTAAAACCATTAAAATGCTTGCACCAAAATTGCTGTTATTGTTGGATAACGATGGCAAATACTGTTAAACTTCAACACATGCCCATTTTGTGCGTATTGTCATTATTGTTTAAAATAAATAATTTCAGAGCATTGTAAACTTCACCCATCAAGTTTCATTCTTTGCAGAACTGATGTTTTTGTCCCTTTTTTTTTTTAATACAATAAATAGTTTCCAAACCAGCAACCTAAGGCAGCAACCCACATGCAAACAGAGTCAGTCGTTTTGGCAAAGCTATTGAGCAAGAAATATGAAAACATGCCAGCGATTTCATCCTCCCGGCCCCAAAAACCCTCTCCACAACATTCCTTTCATAAATTTGCAGTGCTTGAGTATTTTTTTAAAGAAATCGGAGAGAGCTGGTATGTGGAAGGGCCCATTATGGAGCTACTTCTATGGGAGGTTACTGTTATCACTCTCCCATCTCCTCTTATGTTCTGACCCATGGCCCAGTAGTTATTTCAAGGTTGGATGACTATACTCTACTAAAGCCCACCCTCACACATGCACTCACCCGCCTCTCCCACTGTCCATATATGTTCACACACACATAGATGCACAGGAACACAATTATCATTTTACCCCCTCTTGTTAATGTATGTGCATTAGCACCTGCACGACAAAGACCCTCTCGTCTCTGACATTAGTGTGAACAGCAGGCGTGGCAGCATTCTTCAAGAAGCCATCAGGTAGGTGTTAAAACATGTTTATCACCCCTAATTACCGTCCGACTATACGCATTGCTTTTAATATCAATTTTTTGAAGTATGAACGTGTGTATCCAGAAGGGACTTTATATTATTTCCCTCTGTACAGCATCTTAGCAATTGCTTTCATCCCAGAACACCCTCCCCCTACCCCCTCTTCCTTTTTCTCTGCCTCCTGCAAGCATTCCTGCCCCTCCCCCATTTAGTTCCCCTTGCCGGTATGGATCTGTGAAATGTTGGCAGGGTGTGCTGCTATGGCATAGAGCCTCGGCTGTAGGCATGGTGATGTGAAAGAGAAAGAGGTGAGGATGATTGCTTCAGAAAATAGACTGATTTCTCCGGAGGCCGTCAAATCCTTTTGTTTGCCCAATCTTGACATGCAGGCTGCATACAAGTGGCAGCCATGTTCCACCAACCAACATATTTGTAATGTGGCCAGTGACCCAGAGGACATTGCTCTTCCTAGATATGAATAACCAGTCAAACTCTGAACCAATAGAGCTAATATCAGCTTGGTGGCAGTAGATGTCAACAAGTGGTTTGTAATTAACAGAGTCTAGATTTTCTATAATGTTACGACACAAAAACAAATTATGTAATTCTTTTTTTTTTTTTTTGGAAATGTGTGAGGATCTACAGGTTTATCAGTAAGTATGTGTTATCTGTAGCTTAGAATAAAATACAATAAATCCTACTTGTAACCCAGTGCCTTAGACAAATATAACACACTTGATGAGGAGGGGAAGCATGAAAAGAAAAGAAGATCAGTGTAGGCTATAACAATCTCTTTTTATTCTCTATTCTGAACAATCAATTTAAAATGAACAGTCCTCACAGGTACCATTATTATAAAAGGCCAAAACAGTTATGTCATGTCTCTGCATATAGTAATAGAAAGGATATATGACATTCTAAATCAGATCAGATAATGTACTAATAACGAATGCTGTTCCAATAAACCACTTTGTAATATTAATCGAGCTCACACACAAACACAATTTATTCATTCCATTCATTAGTATCATATTTACTGTCCAGTATTTTTGCTCTGCTGTCCAGTTTCACACTGTCTTCACTCATCTCTATTCCAAACTCAAGTCTCCTGTCTACCCTCCAATTTCTCTTCCGCTCTCTCTCTCTCTCTCTCTCTCTCTCTCTCTCTGTCTCTTTCTGTTCTCAAGTTGTTGCATTCATTTTGGTTACTCAAAAGAAAACATCCTTTTTGCCTGAGTTACCACTATTGAAATTGCGGTGGTTACAGCAATCCAGAAAGCCTAGCTGTGTTTTTGATACCTTAATGGCTTTCTCGGGAGGATTAAACTGAATTCACATTGATTTAAAAGATGGCCTCTTTTTCAGACTGCCTGGGTGACCTCAGTGCAGAGACCCTCTGCCATGCCGGACACTGCGTCGAGAACTTCCTGGACATCCCCGCTCAGCTTCACCTCCTTTTTCAGTTCAAAGTCACTCTGCTCCTTGATCTGTGTCTCCTCTGGCTTTTCATTACCATTAACACATTCCTCTGTCGGTGTCGCCGCATAATTTGTGCACTCTCCATTCACAGTTGGAAGGGCATCTACTTCTGCCACAACATCTGTAACAGAAGGGCTCTCTATATCTCCATTTTCCATCTTGCTTTCTACCTCAGGCTCTGGGCAAGGCAACTCTTCCACCGAGGCTTCAGCTACCTCTTCGGACTCAGTAGTAAGTTGGTTGGCAGAGACGGACTCTGAGATGACAATCTCAGGGACAGGTTCTGCTGCTGCGGGCTCAGCTGCAACATATTCCTGTTCTGGTGCAGTCTCCAAGACTGTAGGTGCTTCTGCTTCTACAGTCCCAAGTTCAGTAGTGTCAGATGTGGCAACCATTGGTTCTGGCTCAACTTCTTCAACTTTTTCCTCTGCTGCAGATTTCACAGCTTCGACCACCTGCTCTGGTAATTGTTCCAGCTCTGGTGCTGGCTCTGGTTTGGTCTCCGGCTCAGGTTCTGGGGCTTGCTCTAGCACTGCAGCAGCCTCGGCCACTGGCTCAGGCTCAGGGACAGCTGCAGGTACCACTGCTTCCTTCACAGCAGCTTCTGGCTCAGTAACAGTCTCTGGGATGGGCGCTTCCTCTGTGATGACAGGAACAACCTCTGCCTCTGGCACAGATACTACAGCTGCAGCAGGTTCTTCTACAGGTGCTGGAGCTGGGAGCTCTACTGGAGCTTGGTCCTCTACTACTGGGGCTGACTCCTCTGCTGCTGCAGCTGGTTCTACTGCTGCTGGTTCTTCAACAACTGCAGCTGGTTCCTCTACTACTGCAGCTGGTTCTTCAACTACTGCTGCTGGTTCTTCAACAACTGCAGCTGGTTCCTCTACTACTGCAGCTGGTTCTTCAACTACTGCTGCTGGTTCTTCAACAACTGCAGCTGGTTCTTCTACTACTGCAGCTGGTTCCTCTACTACTGCAGCTGGTTCTTCAACAACTGCAGCTGGTTCTGCTGCAGCTGGTTCTTCTACTGCTGCAGCTGGTTCTACTACTACTGCAGCTGGTTCTACTGCAGCTGGTTCTTCTACTACTGCAGCTGGTTCTTCAACAACTGCAGCTGGTTCTACTGCTGCTGGTTCTTCAACAACTGCAGCCGGTTCTACCACAGCTGGTTCCTCTACTACTACAGCTGGTTCCTCTACTACTACAGCAGGTTCTTCTACTACTGCAGCTGGTTCTTCTACTACTGCAGCTGGTTCCTCTACTACAAGAACGGGTTCCTTTACCGTAGCTGCAGGTTCTTCTGCTACTGGAGCAGCAGGAGCTGGGTCCTCTGGAGGAGCTGATTTGGGCTCTTCTGGAGCTTCTAAAGCTTCAGTCACTGCGGCCACAGCTGACACCACAGCTTCCTTCACCACAATGGTTGCCTCAGCTGTCACATCAGCTATTGCTGGGGCTACAGCCTCGACTGCTGCAGTAACTGTTGCTGCAATCTCATCCTTTGCCTTATTGGGATCGCTCACATCATATCCCTTCCTCTTCTTGCTTAGTTTGCCTCCCATGGTGTCTCCTAGGAACAAGCAGATGAAGGTGTATTTTAATATGAGAGATAAAACAAGGTTTAAAAATGCCCAAGCTGGCTTGGTTTGAAACCTGGATCTTCCAGTTGTCATGGTCAAATGTTAAACATTGAACATCTAATATAACACCAAAGCACAGAGAGGATAATAAGTTAGTTAGGTTGTTAAAATGTATACACCAAAGGCAAACATTAGTTGGATTGTTTTTGTGTCAAACATTCTAAAATGCAGTGTGAGTCCAAATGAAAAAGCTATACACTGTTTTATCAGAAAGGGGAATGGAAAGAAGTCTATTGTCTAGAGGTTAACTAGAAGTTCAATTAGAAAACCGTTCTCTGCCAAACTGTTTGGCTAGAAAACTGGGTAAATGCATGGGAACCTTACTGAGATCAGACAACTTCACAGACTCTCTACCCTTTCAGGAATGGTGGGTAAGGCCCATTGCCAAATCAGCCTACAACTCTGAGTTAGGCATCTATGATGTAAATGTACAACTTTTTCTCTCTCAAGATGATAAGCTGAAAAGTAAAAAAATCTAAAAAAGTAGATGTTATGGGAATACAGCAAACATGTAGTCCTTTGTGTTAATGTGAAACCCTGTTGTGGCTGTAGAGGAAGAGTTAGTGATTGCAACATAATGCAACTTCCTTCCAGTGACAGAAAAGAGAACTGGAAGTTCAACTTTATCTTACTGTCTGTGTATCAGCTGACCCTGAACAAATGAACAGGTTTAAATATGAGAAGGCTGTTAAACATCTCATGATTCTCAATAATAGAGACTAGCCCACACATTTATTTAAAATGCAAATAATCTGATAATTTTAAGCCTATCTCTATTTGCCAAATCCTATTCCAAGTTTGACATGTTATCTCACACAGTTTGCTTTTCATATTATATGTTAAAGATGACTGTAGGAGAGCATGTGCGTAAAATCTGGGAACTGTCCATAGTGCTGCAATGGAGCAATCAAGACAGGATGCGCCATACACTACGGGATAGGCTCCACATCCATTACACCCATTTACAGTCAAATGAACAGGCCAGTGGTGATCAAAATACGTTATTTTGTGCTTTTACGGCAACGTCTGACTTATTTGGCGTTAGGATATATCCATTAACTTATCATTATTTATTGTTCATGTGGTCGATTTGTATTATGCCAATTTATTCGCCAGAAATCATCGTCTAGGCCTCCCAATCAGACAAAGCCACAATGTACAGTTTGAGAAGAAAACCTGATATTTCGACATCAAATCAAGTTAAATTAAGCCAATTACCTGGTTAGTACGAAAATTAAATCTACAGTACACACACAGCAATATATCGGCCTTCATTTTGGAAAGATAAAGAAGACAGCTAGTACGGCAGCATGTGCTGGCCGGTAACAAAGGATGGGGATTCCTCACCAGCAGATACTCTCTGACAAAAGTCATTTGATTAGATTGGCAGCAAACACTTATAATCTGTCCTATACAATATAATATAAAACCATACAACGCCAGGGGGGGAAAATACACTAAACACTGCACTGGCTACGGACACTTGAGGGATAAAAGCTGTAGTGGGGTCTCCATCCCCCATTTCAACCCGCCCACCGCTGCTTCTCTCAGCTGCTCTGCCCATTTTGTTCACGAGCAAATGTGGTACTCACACGGACGTGCAAAAGAAAACCATTTTTTTTAAATAACTAACAGGCATCGCAACTTCATAACTTTGTTTTGCGCTTTCCTCTATCCCAGCAGGTTTTTTTGTAATCGCCTGGCCTAGAAGACGCACTAAATCAAATTCGACCGCTGCGGACGAAAAAAATTGTCCGCAGCCTTCAAATGTAGACATTTGCATAAAAGGAGAAAAGCAAAGAGAGGCAACAATGGGTAAGCTGCAGCTCATCTTTCTTTCGATTTCTCTACACCTATTTTATTTATTTTTACCCACAGAACATAGCCTACCAACCCCATACATGTTGCAATTGAAAATGAAAAATGAATCAATGCTCGGATGAAACCAACCTGTATTTTTAGAGAGTGATCACTTGGTCTTCTTTTCCAGGCTCCGGGTGGATGTGATAATGGAGGTAAACCTTAGGAGTGACAGCTGCAGATTCCTCCCCTGCTCTCCGAGGTGCAGCTTGGGACTGTGTTGTAACTGAGGAGTGCCCCCTCACCGTTTTCTAGACATCTGTCGCTATCACAATCCAGCCAACCCCTCTCCTGCTCCGGCTGCAATCTATACCCTCCCCATCTTTAACCCCTCCTCTCCCGCACACACCCACTTTCGTGCATATTTCTCTGTTGTGTAAATACATCTGCGCACTGGTGGTGATTATGAGCGGACTGGCACTAAGTTCAAGTTTTAAAATGACAATTTATCCTCTGTTCTTGCTTTGACAAATACTACAACTATAATAATTCATGTTAGCCCCCTCCCCACAGGAGTATTACCCTACCATATTATCAATTATTCATAAGAGACATTATGTCAGCAAAACCACTTGTGCAGCACAAACACATGTGATCTTCACACGAAATCACATTGAGTCCTTGATTTTCGTTTTAAAATGATGTTTCTGGCATTCTCATCCACTGCATCATGGTAATCATTCAAAGAAGAATAACACAATTAAAGGCTTTTTAGGTAAATTATAAGGCAAACTCTTTTTTTAAAAGCACTTCATTGAATCTACATGATGCAAAATGTGTTTTATGCATGAGCTGGGGTAATCTGCTGATACATGGACATTGATGTTTGGATCAATATGGGCTTCTAAATAACTCATATAAATCATGTGGCATTGTAAATATATACAAGAACGTTTTTATTGTATGTGCATACCCATGCCTGCCTTCAAATGAATGGAATGTTCTTGTTAGGAGGACCAAAAGTATTAAAATGCATTGCCCTTATTTGCTATTTGCCTTCCATGTGTTAATGGGCAAGGTTGGTCCGGGGTGAAACTTAATGAAATTCAACAACTGACCCTTCCAGGTTAACATGTTGTCTAATATAACAATTTGACCCGAGCAGCATGCCACTGACACACTGTTGAGGTATCTAAAACCAAGTATACTACAGATATAGCCTATATTCATCAAATAAAGTTGTGGTAGAACTATCAAGATCATTTAATTTTCTCCAACAATACAAATTATAATCTAGTATAAGGTATCTCAATAATTCCATCAACAGTTCCATTGTTACCATTTGCATAGCCTTATGTGAAAAAGAAAGGCGAGATTGGGTCTTTCCCTGATAGTTCACACAAACACGTTTTCTTAACAGTACCTCTCAGTGAAACTAGAAGAAATACATCACCAATTACACAACAATGGGGCTGAAGATCTGATTACATCACTCAAAACTCACCAACCTGGTATTTAATCAAAAGAAGGGCTCAAGCAGCCAAACAGGTTTGTTTGTCCTGGTTTGGGCATATGGGGAGATTTTCAAAATAAAAATCAATTAAATAAATAGTGGCTACTTGACATACTCTCTAGCTTATAACCTAAAGTAATTAAAGGAGTGGATGTGTCTCAGGACATGTAAACAAAGGAATGGGCAATATATGTTGCATTATATATTTCTTCTTCTTTTTGTATGTTTTAACAACATATTCCCTGTGGGAACCAAGTGCTTTTGGCAGTTTTACAAGCATTTTTTCTTTTATTTTCCCTTCTTCCCCGACTGGTGTTTTTCTCAGGGACCTTTCAATAAATACAATTTATCACCTGAGTTGCCAAATAGACAGTTGTATTGAGTTGACAGCACCCCCTTCTGTTGACAAGAGCACATAGCACAACACAGCATCTTTTGATGAACTTTTTGTGCATTAATAAATTATGATACAAGCTGAATATTTTTTAAATGTGCAAGTTAGACAATATACATTTTTATATGTAAAGATCTAGTTACATAGAGCATCGGTGGAAAAGACAATAAAACAGTGTGACACTCTCTGTCAATTACAATTTAAATATTCCTGATTCAATCAAGGCATGTCACAACAAAAACACATTTGTTTGAAAACATATATTTGTACACAATAAAAACCAATAGAAATGACTGTCACAATGACACATACTAGTTGATCACGTTATATTGGTTATGAACGTTATAAAATGCTCTGCTTTCTATGTTTTGCACCACAAAGTTTGTTTGTTTCCCCTGCTGGCAGCAGAGATAAACAGAGACAAAGGGGCAGCAAAGGCTCGGTTTCACATGATGCAAAACCTCTGGAATGCATTCCCATGAGTATAACCACCACTCCAGCCAACCACGCTGCTCCATAGACAGAGGTCTCACAGACATATGGGTAAGTCTTAGAAACCCCCCAGAGTTTCATAAAATGTCCAGGGCTTATCTGTCTGCAAGTCCTGAAGCATTTGGCCTGGACTGACCCAAAGACTGAGGAGGTTGAGGAAAAAGAAAAAGGTGTTTGTTGCTCCGACATGCTAAGTACTCAGTGAAGGAATGCACAAAAACGTACACACTGGACAGGTTCATAATATACTTGATTGTGATTGAAACATTTTAAAGCTTGATATTTCACTTAAAAGTGTACAGCCAATTCACCAGAGTCATTCAATAAAATATACATTGTTTTCAACTTTCCAAACTTGTGAGAAGTGTGGCTTGAAATCGCAGATTTGGAGAATAGCCTACTGCTATAGTGTGTAGCACGCACATACAAACATGATAGTGAAAGTTGTTGAGCATCCGGACCCTTTTTTTATGGGAGAGTTACTTGATAGTTGTGCTGCGTGACCCAGTTTGTCTGGGATTCATTCAACAACAGTTTGGACTCTTGGTTATACGCAAAATCACCATTTACATGTCATTTTGACGTGATGAAGATTCAGTCTTCAAATAGTTAAATAAAAGCTGTGGATTGTGTAGATCTTTATCAGATTTTAATATAATTTGACCAATCAGAATTCAAGGTTAAATACAAATTGATATGAAGAAAACTAATGTGAAGGTTTCTTTATGAATATGATGCCATTTCAAATAATATGATGATTCCCACACATTTAGTTTAAAATAAAAAAAACAGGAATAGCACCCTCTACTGGATATTTTCTATTTGACAACAATAGTACTAAACAATCTTAATAAAAATTAATATCAACAAATACTATTTTTGAGATGCTGAAGGTTGATGAAAATTGGATTTGAATTATGACCAAATTTATTTAGGTTTCCAAATTGTTCATTCAATTTATATCTATTAGATGAAAGGTCTACAAGCGAGGGTCAGTGATCCCTATGAGTTACTGGAGTGATGGCAGGCAGTGTTTGTCTGATAATATTTTAAAAAGTTGTTATAAGAAATATTATAAATCAAATATGCCTGCAAATATGCATAACATTAACCTGATTAATGCATTATATTGGCAAAGATAAATCGACCCATCGTAAATAAATAACTACAACATTGAACATGAATCCTTGTGCAATCACGTGAGATAGTTAACCTCCTAAATCACTGTGTGGCACCTATCCATCATGGCAAACTAGAGGCTTTATTTTATTATTTTAATAGCTAAGTATTATAGGTACCATCACAAGGTCCCATATGTTTAAACATTGCACTTAAGGCTGTCCTATACATTATTGTAGGCCCAGTTTTATACATGTATGTACACTGCAAAAAAGGAATTTTAAGAAAGTAAACAAAACTTGTTTCTGGGAAACAATTCTTAAGTCAAATTATCTTGTTAAGAATGTTTTGCTTAACAAAAGTATTCTTACTTTGAGAAAATACATCTTACTTTTTCTTATTAAAAAATGCTATCTTATATTGAGCTAGAATTAACCAGTAACAAGTTACAGCATTGGTTTGCATGAATTCCCGGCATGGAACAGATTTATTTTTTCTTATTTTAAGAAATAAACCATCAACTTCTCAATTTAAGAATCTGATGAAATGACACCATATTACATTTCATATATATTTATTCATTGTCGAGAGCTGTCTATTCACTTTTCGCATTGCCATTGAGACAACTGTGGTGTGGTATACACAACACGCACACACACCAAAAATACAAGTAGAAGTATTGCACGGCACTCATTGATCAAAATTGAAAACAGTTTAAAATGACCACGCAATGTTGTTAAATGTGTTCATGTTTGAATAAAAAAAAAGTCTAAATATAAGAATGTTTCTGCTGTCTCAATTTAAGACAAATGCAATATAGAGGCGTGTGGCGCAGTGGCAGTTCAAACCCCACTGCAGTCAGCATGTCGTTGTGTCCCTGGGCAAGACACTTCACCCCAAATTGCTCCTGTGGGGATTGCCCACAGTATTGAGTATGTAAGTCGCTTTGGATAAAAGCGTCTAACAAGTAACAAGTAACATGTCATGTAATGTAATATATTATGCCAATTCAAGAATTGAATTCTTATTGTAAGCTTTATTAGCTGATTTGTAAACTTAATTTAAGATTTACATTCTAAGATTAAGACAAAGTCACTAATATATTGTGTCAACTAAAGCCAATGATTCTTATTGTAAGCTTTTTTTGCTAATTATAAATCTTAATTTAAGAAATAAATTCTTAGTCAACTCAACCAAAACACAAATTTTAAGTTATTCTTTCTTAAATAATTCAGGAATCATTGCTTGTAATAAGCAAAATGTGCTTACATTTTTCGGTTTTGTCTAGTTTCAAGGCCCATTACGGTCTTTCAGTAGCTAGATTTTAATTCTAGTTTTAAGAATTCTAGCCAAGCAAATTTGGCTCACCCCATTGGCAGATTTCTTTGCTTGATACAGGAAAATCTGACTTGATTCAAGAATATTTTTGCTTGTTTTTGGAAGGGCTGTTTTTGCAGTGTATCATCTGTCTCTCTTTGATCTAGGGGATGACCTTGGCCGTACAAACATTGAAGACCCTTGTGTTGTACGTTAACCAAGAGACGTTTTAGAATAAACTATTTATGGATGTGACAACGGGTTTTAGAGTTAAAGGCCTGAGGTGATTTCACATTTGACAAGATGGTGTCACTAGTGCAAATGTTGTGAGGGTGCACGCTGGTTGGCACACTCATTTATTGACCTGGCAACCCCTTTGGATAAAAGTTGTAAACATTTTCAACACTCCATGAAATGTACATTTTACAAATCAAGATAGTAGCCATGTTCTTGAATCAGTGACACGTGTTTTTAACTGTATCTATGCACCCTTATGGTATGTGTTTATTTGACTGCTGGGCAA